CCCCCACTCCATGAATCAACTTGTTCCTGTGCTGAGGGGGAGACACCAGAGAGAGAGATGGGGGATGTGATAAATCTTAAGAGGGGTTGAGCTGCGGATCACGAGGCGGTTGTTTGCATCCTGTTGTTGCTTTTCAACTGGATTGGCTTGTTAAAGACRGGAAAGATAAAAGATTCGCCCATGGTTGGATTAAATCTCTCCTTTCCGAGCTGTAACTCTTAATTCTAATAAATAAAATAAAATAAAAAACCTGGCGGCTGCAGCAGGTTCTCCATGTTGAGTCACTGTTTTTTTTTTCCTTCTATTTTGTGGAGACTTCAGGCGCCTCTGCAGCGCAGAGCTCTACACATAACGCTGCGCCTTAACACGTAAAAAAAAAAAAAAACAATCGATACACTTACAGTTCAGGGCGTTGCACTCTTCAACCACAGTAGGTGCATTTACCTTTTGAAAACTGCACAACTTTGCATCATTATTCATATATGAGTCATAAACATCATATACTAAACGTGCAATAAAATGTTCACAGTCGCAAAGAAACAAATTATCATTTCAGCTTATTAATGTTCTTCTTTAGAAAAAATAATAAGTCACGACGTTTTTTGTTTTTTTTAAAGCAACACATTTTGAGAAAAGATCCATTTATTTCAGCTTGGGTGGCAGTACTTACCCCGCTCTCCTGCCCACGAGGAATCTATATAAAATGATCCATATCCAAAGAAAAATCGTTCATTTTGCTTCTTGGTTTTAAAACAAAAAAGGGGAGTTTCCTGTGTAATAAAAAAATAAAAATAAAGATAAAGATTAAAAAAACGTGTCTGTCTTTCAGAGGAAACGCGTTGAAACCTCGTTACTTAATTGTATCCAACAGGAATCCTCGCGCATCTCGAGGCTGACGCGTCGATGTCTCGGAATCATTGCGAGCGCTGTCCACGGAGAAGTGGTGCTGAAAAAGTCTCAAGTCCACAACTTCTGGTTGCGCGCGGCCGGGGTGGGTGGTGGGGGTGATTAAAGACCACTCTCTCCTAGCGCTGCTCCGGTGACAGGAGGATCAGATCTTTACGGGATAACGGAGCGGAGAAAGCGCATATCCCACAGCCGAGGCGAGAGTCTCCCCCACTTCTCCTCCTCCTCTCCAACTGACTGAAGGCAGCACGCGCTCGGTGCGCTGGATGTGATTGATGTTGAATGCATAGCAGCTCCGCGTCTTTAAAGAGAGAGAGAGAGAAAAAAAWGCGCCAGCAGTGAATGGGTAAAAACGAACACAAACCACCAGCTTTGCGTAAAATACGCTGCGTTTGCGTCAGATTCTTGGATTTGTGGGCTTTTAAGATCWAATTTTCTGTCTTTAACGTAAATCAAGCACAATAACATATTATATGTCACAGAAAACTGAAGCTAAATACATTTTTTTATTTTTTTATCATTTGGAGTGAGAATTAACGCATGTTTGATCTGCACCTTGAGGATTCAGATTTTACCCCCATTTGGTCTGTGTTTTCTGGTGAGTATTGCACGTTCCAGGTGTTGTGGCAGCGCGTGCAGCTTGTTGAGTCTCAAAGCGTTTGGGATGCTGTGCATCAACCACGACGAACGTATCAAGTCCAATCACCGAGTGCGAAAACTCAATCTAGACACCAGGTTTTGTGTTTTGTAAGCGCGTGCGTCTGAGCGCTGTGTTTGTGTATGGGAAAGGGGGTGCGCGCGCATGTGYGAGTGTGTGTGTGTGAGATGCCCTGACTGCAGCCACACTGCAGCACATTTATGAAATTATGTCCAAGCGCATGCCTCCGAGTATCCAACATTATCCTGCAAGAAAATGCGAGAAATTACTTTTTAACCAGCCATGGTGGAGAAGTAATTTCACCGAAATTGCTGTTATTATTCGAGACCTGCGCTGAGATGTGTGTCAAATTTCGCCTAATAATGTGTTGTGGGAAGACAAAAGACTTCCTCWTCTTTGGGTTAAACGGTGGTTTCGTCTTGTTGCTCATCAGGAGGTGATCATTCTTCCCTCGCGTCCTGAATGTGCGCAGCTGCTCTTTTTCTTTCCCCCTGATCACAGAACTGAGCGGTGCACGGGGGGGGGGGGGGGGGGCTTTCACAGGTCTGAGTGGGTCACACCTGTGGAGTTCTGGACGCGCTCCACCAGATCAAGGGAAAGTGGGGAAGTGTGTGTGTGTGGAAAATAAATTCAAGAGGGAGGCGGGGTTCTTTAAGGGGTGTGTGTCACGTCTCTGTGGAACCCTGMAGGCAGCTGAGCTTCTGAATATTCATCATCACCAAGGCCGGACTTCCTGCAGGGTTTATCCGGGGGCAGGAGCCCAGGGYCCCCAAGATTCAGAGTGCCCAGAGATGATTTTTAAAGGGGACCTGTTGTGCAAAATTCACTTTTTAAAGTTTTTTTTACTCAACTTTGGGTATGTACTTCTTAAAAAACAGTCCTAGGACCAAAAAATGCACCCAGGGGCATATTTACTGTAAATAAATGTATTTTTAATATATATTAACGACAAGTTTTATACTTCTGTCATTTTGTGATGTCACAAGCCGTACGACAACCCACCTGAACCTGCGTTCTGTTTTCTAAAAATAAAAATAAAAAACCTTTGTTTCCAACGTKGTGCGAGCTCATATCACTAGAAATATCTTTAATTAGTGAAAAGCCCACAACTATTAACAGTAATTTAATTTGCTTGATTTCAATTTTAATTTAAACTTAAACTCAAACTTAGTTTCAGATATTTTTTACATGTTCAAAGTTGCTTCCTCTATATTTGCAACATTTTTGTTTATTATGTATTCTCAAGACGTGAGGATAAAAAACATCATTTTGCTTTCTAAAGRTTGTGGTGTTACTTGTTTTGCTGTATTTGACCTTAACTCTCATTTYTGCATGACAGTCTAAAATTATTTGCTTTATGGAGAAAAAAAATTACATAGATACCTTTAAAAAAGTTTGCATCTGTTGATTTTATTACCTATTAGGAACTATTCAGTCAGACCAGGCTTGAGCAAAATTGTATTGTGTSTGCGTGTGTCAGAAAAACTGTCGACAATAAACATTTGCCTCTTGGCAATTACTGCAATTAGAGCAACATGATGACATATTTTTGTGTGCGATGCACTCTCACTGTCAAGCGAAGCCCAGTGGCATATTGAAATTCTGTAATTTCATTGTGCTCTGTACAATGACAATAAAGGTCTAATTTAATATTGTGTTTCTAAAGATCTGCTGCCATTCAACTTTGGGGAAAAGTTGGGTTTCAATTTACAGCTGGCTATTTTAAACCTGGTAAAATGAAGAGGTTGGTTGGACTGTGGACTTCTAAGAATAGTTTTAGATCACAGGGTAATTGGTTTATAGTCAAAAACATGCAAGTGCAATTGTCATCGATTAATTGTCATATTAATCATTTATGCTACAGTTAATCATGATTACCTCCGCCAAGGTCGAGGTAATGTTTTCGGTCGTGTATGTCTGTCTGTCTGTCTGTGGACAACATTACTCAAAAACTTGTGGACAGATTGTTAAGACATTTTTAACACATGTGGGTACTGGGCTAAGGAACACACCTTTAAATTTTGGTGATGTTGCGGATCACGATGCGGATACAGGAATTTTTTTTCTTTTCACACTCTGAGATCGGCAAAGCTGTGATGCTTTCACAGGGCTTCTGTAAAAAACAGTGACCTGGATTGGACAGCACGGACTTCAAACTTTATAAAAGTAATGTTAAAACCAGATTTAATGATGAATAATTTTTGCCATAATTTGCACATTTACAGAACGTTTTGTGACCAGGAAGTGCGTGACTGCACTGAGACCTATTTTTCCCATTTCATCAAACACACCACATTTCCGAAACAACCACTCAAAACAGTTTCTCGCTGCTAGGCTTGTAAACAGAGAGCTGCCGGGCCTCAAAGTTTGGAGACGGGGGGAGCCAGGAAGCACTTTATAAAGAGAGTCAAACCATTACAAACTCATACAAGGAGATAAAACAGACGTTTTACATGGTGAAATGTGACTGATGAAAACTTAGGAGCTTAATCCAACACCAGTTTGATGATGAATAATGTCGGGTGACGAGTCTGACTTTTTTTTTCACATTGGACTCCACAGGGAAGAAATTCCATACATACTGCCTGCTTAAATGTTCGCTACATCAGAACTTATTCGACAAATGTGTTTTCATCTCTGCTTTTGCACATTWACTCTTACRGGATGGGGGAAATTGGTCTTGGCGGAGGTTTGCACTCYCCGAGTGCTTCTAGTTTATTATTGCGTAGCCTACACTCAACTTTTGTAGATCAGGTGCGTTAAAAAAAATAGAGCCCCACTCTTTCATTAACCCCATCCCCATCCTGAATGACAGTCCTGTGGGCACAAATAGAGCCATGTAAATCATTCAAGAGTCACAGCAAACTTGTGTRCATTACTGAACCGTTTTCTGCATCATTTTATACTTGTCAAAACATCCGATCCCCTCCATCTGTCAGCCCTTCAAACATTCTTCTCTTCCTCTTTGCCATGGTTAGCGCATGTGAATTATTCATCTGTGGAAAATGGATATAAAAGTAATTTCTTCCAAGAGGCTCATTGTCGCCTTGCTTTCGGCTGCGGTGCACCGGGAGACGGCCTTGCTGAACGCGTGCGTGCCGAGGATAACATGCAGTGCAGCTGAGTCCCTCCATCCCTCGGTGCAGGACAAACCCTGGAGATTACTTGTTTCAATTAGCCACGGGGCGGGGAGAATTTAAGCCATGTTAATTCCAGTCACTAGTGAAAATCTGAGTCAAAGAGACCAGCCACTCAGGCATAATCGCCTGCCCCCAGACGTCTCATTTCATGGAAACATTAGGAGGAATAAATCCAAATGTAAATTCTAAGGTGAGAAGAATTTCATTTTATTCATGGTTCACAACAACGTCCAAGACTTCTGGAGGATTTCCTTGATTCAAAGTAACTTTAAGCTTCTGAACTCCATTTTCCCTTTTAATTTCCTCAATTTCATTTTTATATGAGGACTTCTATGTAATTAAAATAAAACCTAAGTAAAATGGGTGAGGTAGGATTTCAGCTGAAGAGAGATGCCTGAACAAGAAGTGGATAATCCTCAGTCAGTTCAATAAATACTCATCTAATGGAACTAAATGTGACGTCTGCTTTTCATCGGCGTCTGTGGTATTTAATACCGCAGATAAAAAAGATTGCAAACATTGGATTTAATAACATCGAGGCGCTCACAGTCTCACCAACAAGTGGGAGGACGCTGAAATGAGTCACATTTTCACTCTCGTTTGAAGCAATATGTTACAACAATGGATCAAGGCAGCCGGGTCAGACAGTCTGACCGTGGGCTCCATGTGTGAGGGATTTATTTTGTTGAGATGCCCGCTGGCAGCTGTTACAGGTGTAACCTTTTGATCCCTGACAGCTTACAATGACTTTTTTTCTAAGATACAGAAAATGAAAAAACAATGCATTTGATCCGTACAGCACTACAGCGCACCCACGTATGCGAAAGCTAAATGCTTGTGGGACATCTGAGAATACTAGAAAGTGATTCTCATGAGGTGTCATGAATGTCACTAAATGTGGGCTAACATAAAAACAAAGGCTTTTGTATCAGAATGTTAGAAAGCATTAAGACCAGAGGTGTTGTTTCTGTTAAAGAAGAGAAAAACCCTCATCTTTTAACATCCTAAAGAATTGCTTCTTTCATTAAAGCTGCAGCTGGAATTGAATAAAATTTTCATCCAATTTAAACTTTATTATTTTTTCTCTCTGCACACATGATCATTTCACGGGTCATTAGTGAAACATCGTGTTGAATTATTAAAAGAGAGTGGACATGAAAGCTTGTTGTAACTGGCATGATAGCAGCCCCTGGTGGTTCAGACTTTTAACATCCTCAAATAGCTTTAAAGGTTAACCTGAAAACTGCATCCTAATGGGCTTGTTAGACCTGTATGATCTGAACTTTTATTCAAACCAGAGGTCCAAAAACTGGCTCCAGTGGTGCCCCCAAACTCTGGAACAACACATGTTGAAAATTTAAAGAGCCAATGGTTGTTTTTTTATTATTATTTGTGTTGAAAATCCATTTATTGGCTCTTGTTGAACATAGGACATTTTGAGTGTTTATTTTGTACATGGTAAGCGTAGCAGGGAGTCAAACCTGCATCTCTGAGGTCTGAAAC